TTTTGATCCCTGATAAATTGGTTTATTGACTAGCTTTTGTTCCTTCCTAAGTTTTCCTTGTTTGGCATTTTAGGGCTATTTTCCTTCTGATAATGCTTTATCATTAACTCCTATTTCTTGTGCCTCCCTGATACAATACAGCCACTGCTGCAGGAGCACCAAGCACACAGGATCTCTTTTGCTTCTAAGAGAATAAGTATTGAAAGAATATTAACTTCTGGCATTTAAAGACAAAACCGTAAATTAAGATTCTGCTATTCCCGGCGCGTGGGGGATACTATCTATTCCATCCTCACCACCGCTCTGGAAGGTGGCTGCTACTATTTCAANTGCCTCCCTGATACAATACAGCCACTGCTGCAGGAGCACCAAGCACACAGGATCTCTTTTGTTTCTAAGAGAATAAGTATTGAAAGAATATTAACTTCTGGCATTTAAAGACAAAACCATAAATTAAGATTCTGCTATTCCCGGCGCATGGGGGATACTATCTATTCCATCCTCACCACCGCTCTGGAAGGTGGCTGCTACTATTTCAACTTTCCAGATGAGGAATGTAGACACGGTCTGAGGGATTAAATGACTTGCAAAGATCCTGAGCCCAGTGAGGGGTGGAGCAAAGACTTGCAGCCCCGCCTGACCGCAAAGTTCAGGTTCCCCCCATGTCACAGCATATCACGAGATGCTTCTAAAGGCTGTCCCCTCCCTCCACCCTGAGGATGGTCCTATCTCTGGCTTGGGACTTTGAACATCTGAATGTTAAGCAGGCTGTGAGTCCAACGGAAGGACGGGAAGAAGCTGGTGTCTAGTTATAGCTTCCATTTGCTATAGGGAAACATCAAAGGAAAAACAGGAAACAGGTGAATTTGAATGAGTTTTATTCTCTGAAATTGTCAACTGCCGTGTAGACCCTTCAGCTAACTCCCTCCCACCCACTCTAACTCAGCGCCCTGCTGTGCAGCACCTGCCCCGCTTCTGGCTCATGCGAGAGGAGACGGCTGACTGCAGGTGCTGGAGGGAGGGGCGGGAAGACCTCCCGATCCTGTCGTTCATCTCTGCACTCCTGCACATCTTCCCTCCATCCAATAGAAACTAAAAGTGTCAGGTAGTTGAAAACCGAGTCTGAGGCAGTGATCCTTTTGAAACATAAAGTGGATTGTGTTACTCCTTTACTTAAACATTTTCAGAAACTTCCCAGGGGCTCCTAAGCTCCTGCCTAACTTCCCACATGGCCCTGTGGCAGACCCGGCTCTGGCCGCACGACACGCTTACAATTGCGTCTGCTGGCCTTTGTACGTGCCACTCCCCTGCCTGGATGGGAGGCTTCTGCTTTCTGCCTGGTGAACCACACATACTTCACAATATACCAAGATTCCTTAAAGGTCACCTTCTGTGTGGAGTCTTTTATAACCTGCCACCCCGGGAAGGATTAGACATGCTGTCCTCAGAGGTGGTGAACAGCAAAGCAAATGAAAACGTAACGGAGCTGTCTTCTGCACCATGTTTGAGTTCCAGAGTTTCTACCGTACCTGGCATACTGTCCTCTGCTCTCGGCAAATGAATTCATTTGTTGTGTCCTGTTCACAGATCTCCCCAAGCCTAAGTCATCACATACACCGAGCTCTTCACCTGGATGTCCTCCTTGGAGCCAAATCATGAGAAATGGCTGGCAACACTTCACAGTTTGTAAAGGGCTTTCAAACACATTATCTCTTTTGGCCATCACGAAACCAGGTGAGTCAATGGTGAAGACATTCTTCTTCTCAACTGAGTGACCTGGGAGAAAGAGGCTAAATGGCTCGATCAAAGTCACCCACCTAGTTAAAAGTAAGGCCAAGACTGGAACTGAGGTCTCCTGCCTCTCAGTCCAGGGCTCACCTGATATACCCGACTCCCAAAGGACAGGTGGCTCTGTGGGTCAGTGTCCTTCAACAGGACTCTCCATAAGTATCCAACCTGTTTACAACCAGGCACTGGGGGACCAGTTACCTTAAAGGGTGGCCCTGTCCTATCGGGGTTTTCATGGATAAGGAATCAGAAGTCTCGTGTCTTCTTGGCTTTGTCCCCTGCCTTGCTTGGATAGGACTCAGCTAAGGCACTCACTGCCTTTGAGCCTGTTTCCTCATCTGAAGCATGAGAGTAACTCTTTCTATCACACCCACCTTGCAGGGTTCTTGTGAGGTCAAATGAGGCAAC